GGCAGGCGCTGACGGATGGGGAAGCTGTGACATGACCCCATCCCAAATACAGGGGCATTCTGAGACGTGTCTGCTGTTTCACCGTTCTTCTGACCTCGCCCGTGGCACTGTAGCTCCAACACCCGCGCTGCGGGCAGTTGCATCGGATTTCCTGGGTGCTGAGCGAGGGGAGGTGATTACGTGTTGGTCAGCGAGCCGAGAAGGGTACAGAGGGTGCCAGTGTCCTGTGCACATTCAGGAATCTGGACAAATGATGTAGGGTCAGCTTTAGCATGGTGTCTCCTGCTCTTAAGAATAGCTGCATTTCACTGGTAGGTTTATCTGACCGTAAGTAACAATGCAGATGACTCAGTTGCTGTTTGGCTCACCACAACATCGGTATTTAGTAAGGGAGAAAGGAGTGCTGTCTCGCCACTGACATCCGCTACCTGTTTTGGAAGAATCCTACCAGGAACTTCATCTGAACTTGTCTTGCTACAAAGCATTAAGGTGTAGGAAGGTTATGGGGAAAATATGATGAAAAGCATGACTAGGTTTTCTTTTTGGGTCTCTGATATAACCACATTTTTTCCAGAACAGTCGAAGGAATAAAAGGAATATCATACTTTAGGAACTGAATTTTCTTCATGTCTACATAGCTAATTTATTGTCATCCTGCCTTGTAAAAGTGTGAAAATGAAAAAGCAAAGTGTGCCTCACACCTTAGCTTCTTCCCCTGCTTGTGCTTGCTTGTTTTTTCTAATTTTTAAGCAGAAATACCCTTTGTCTCCCACTAGCCTCCTACGTGATAACTGATCAAACAGAGCTACGGAAAATCAAGTGCATGGAGAAGACGGGGATCAGCATAACAAGAGAGCTGATGTGGTGGTGGGGAGTGAGGCTGGCTACGGTGCAGCAGCTCCTGGACCTGCTGCAAGGACTGCAGCTCTACCGAGCGGCTCAAGTCATCCTGGACTGTGAGTAGCTGCCCCTTCCTCCCACAGGGAGCCTGTGCTGCTTCTCAGAGCACCAGGCCCAACCTGGTGCACCTTTCTTGGTGCAAAAAAAGCTGAGGAAGCTTTTTGCTGGGGGTCTTACGCTTAAATTCTGAAATTTCTCTACTGATTCTGATTTTCTGCTCTCTCAAATAAAATTTGTGGTCATAAAGGAAGAGGTGACATAGAGGAGGAATCACTGGTCCCCGTAGTTCACCATCCCACTGTTGTAGGGGGCATCTTAGATGCTTTGAGAGGTGCCAAAGGGAGAGTGGCTGTGCTCTGAACCAGTCGTATCACACAGGGTTTCAAAACAGAGCCTAATCATGAATGTTTTAATTTTTTGGTACATTCTTGTTCCTCTGTGAAATTTTGTCATTACACTCTAATTGTCACCAAACTCAGAGTATAAAACCACATAATGGGTTTTGCCTGTACCGCCTGCTTTCCTGCGTCATGGGGAAAAGGTTATGACAAGCAGAAATGGTTTATCCACTACCTACACTACTATTTCTTTGTCTCACTTCATATTTTCTCTATTTGTGTCATATGTTCTCCTTGATCCTTAAACAACTGTAGTCTTTTGTAACTCTTGGCATGTGATTCTTCTCACGTATCTCCAGCTTGCTCTATTTCAGATTTCTCTTTTTCGAGGTAGGATGATTAGCGTTTGAACGCAGTGTGCCCAGTTAAGGTAAACCACTGCCTTTTAGAAGTCACAACACTTTAAAAAATAATTTTCCTTTCCATTTTTTTCCATTGAAGATTATGTTTAAATTGCAGCTGTCTATTTTTGCAAGCCAAATTGTACCTTAGTCCAGTTCTACCACCAAATTTGTTGAACCCTGGACAACATTCTGTCTTTCTATATTGAGTCGCTCCAAAAAGTCGAGTGGACCATATTCCCCTTTTCACACCTGTTCCCACCCAAAATCTCCTTTCTGGAAATCAGATGTCTCTATGAATTTTGCGAATTCTCTGTAGAGAATTGCTAGAATGAAAAATTACAGATTGTTGTGTGGCCAAAGATGCTTGGAGAAGCATGACCCAGGTGCATCTGGGAAACGTTCAAAGCTGATGTGGGCATACACTTCCACAGGTGGGAAACGGGCAGGAGCACCACCTGCTCTTCCCAGGCTGCGACGGGAAAACTGTCGGCGACGGGTGGGTTTGAGCCGCGTGGCGAGCGGCTGCTGCGGAATAATGCATCCTGGGTTTCTTGCCACGTGGCATTAGCATGACTTTTAACCTTCATTTCGGAATGTCAGAAAAAAACATTTAACGCTGGTATTCTAAATTTCTTTTTTTTTTTTTTTTAAAAAAGTACTACCTCGCAAGCAGCCTTCAAGCACGCTCTGTCTTGGCACACGGAGCAGCGTACCCGCAGACCCTGAGGAGCGCGTCGCTCTGTTAATGTCGCTGGTTTTGGCGCCGCTCGTGCAGCCCCTTGGTTCAGCAATCCGCTTGCTGACGGAATTCAGCCGCAGCGTTCGGCTTGGCAGGCTGTGACTGGCGTCTGGTTTAATCTGTGTATCCGTAATCCAGTTGTTAAATTAGTTACTGTGACTTTGGGGGCCCAGGCCAAGTGGGCAGGATTGAAAGCAAAGTCTTGCTTGTTGATTTTTAGTCTCTACCTTGAATAACTCGGATCTAGACACCACCGAGGCAGGAAGCCTGGCTCCCCGCTAATGGTGGTTTTGTGGATGCTCTGCAGCAGAGAGTGGCTTCCGTGCTGGGATGACACTTTCACTGTGCCTGTTCGGTATTTGTCACAGCTGATCCTGGTCCGTAAGGAGAGTTCCTGGGTGCTCTTGTGTAACGCTGTGTGACCCACCACACCTTGAACCCAAACAGGTTACAACCTCGCCGTCCCTCCCTGTGGGAGCGCGTTCCGGGGTCCGCCTTTGTTTACAGCCGCCTTATCTCCGTGCATTCCTCCGCAGAGTTTCTGTAATCCTGCTTTGTACTGTGATGTAAGAAAAAACAGCCCTGAATTCTCCTTCAGAGAACGTAAAAACTGAAATTGAAAAATTACTGGATGTTTTTTACCGCTACATAATAGCAGCAGCAATTTTCAAATTAATTTTTATCCGTCATGGAAAAGACTGGTTTTGTTCAGTTAGGTACGATGCCTTTTCTTTCCCATGTGGGTTAATTTTCCCATTTTTGCAAAAGCTGAGTTCAAAGAGCTTAGAAAAATTACTTGTTACAACAAGTGCGATACTGCTGCTTTTACCCCAAGGTAGAGGCCTTTCTCTTCTCTTACAGCCTTTAAAACAAGACCATGAGTACATTTCAAACTGAGATGAGCTCAGCACGTGGCAGTGGTGAATGACTGCGAGAGAAGTCGGTATTTCATTTCAGAGAGCCATCACCTGCAGCCCACCACACGGTTGATCCAAGCTGGCGTACAGCACGTGCAGTAGAACGACCCCCTGGAAACGAAGATGATGCGCAGCAGATCTCTGCTCGTTAGGGCCGGCCCTGGGTTCAAGAGTATGGCACTGCGGTAGGGTCGGAGAGGCGGCATCTTAAAGCCCGTCCTAAAGCCCCTGACAAGATTGCTTGCACAAGAACCGAGAAAGGTTTGTCTCTCCAATTCTGTAAAATGTGAAGAATCAGGCTTCGAAGCCAACAGCAGCTTCCAGAAACATTGTCGTTAAAAATAAAGATACAACACAGACAAAAATAATCATCATCACTGCACAGAAACGTTCATCATCCTTCTGTTTGTCCGACTGGTTTTCTTTTAAGCAGTGTGTAAGCATCACTGTAGCTCGTGCAATGTGCTTGACTCCCAGATCAATTCAAATGCAATAAATTGCAAAGCTACCATGAAATTATCTCTTTAGAAAACTTCTAATAGTTATCTCTTCTACTGAAGTCCATAGCAAAACTTCATATTAATTTAAGTGGCAGAAAGTCTGGATTATTTTCTTGTTCTGCCATGTGGAAGTAGTTAATGTTTTCTGGAATTAACCCAATATGGGCACTCAACTGTGTGCTCGGTCATAAGCAGAAGTGATTTCTAGCAGGATCTTTTCAGGTTTAGACAAATCCTTGACGTCTTTACCCTCTGTTTCTGCTTTTTTGTCTCTATCTGAATATGCTTACTCAGGTGATTCCTCTTGGGCAGACAGGGAGAAGACATTGCTGCTTCTGTGGGGCACTTCAGAGAACTACGTGGTCCTTACATCACCATGGTTGTGTTTATTCTGACTTAATCAGACGCAACACATGGGTAGATGTTTTGCTGGCAGATTATTTCCAGGAGAGTTCTACCTCTCTTCAATAATTTCTTGCAGTACTCAAATCCATAATAATGATTTTTTTTAGTGTCAGCTCTTTAGCTTCAGTAGTGACCTGTTTGTCTGATATGCAGGAAGTTGCAAAATTCATGAAAAACCCTGAAAAGTAGGTTACAAGAGGGAAGTGATTCTAATTTTAGAGACTTCTAGGTTCAAGTACACGAGGGAGAAGCCAACAGTTGCAGAATACAGGGACTGTAAGCTTTGACTAAAGGCCCACAGACTGTTTCATAGCTAATTTCAAAAACCCATAAAATTGGGGATTTCGTAACATTCCAACACAGCAATAACGAAACGTACCTGATTTTTCTGAGTTTTGATTTGAAGACCTGGTTTCAGTCAAGCCTGCGTTCACGGGTGACATCACTGAAGAAAGCGGGTACAAACCCCAGACGGAGGCCAAAGGAGAAGACTTGCCATGGAGGTGCCCACTTCTGCCACCGTGGCTTTTCCCACAGCCCTTCTCTTCAGCCTGGGGCGCACCGAGCCTGGCATGGCTCGTCTTCTCTCAGACGTGCCCGCTGGATCGGTGAGGCACGCAGGTTGGGATGGAAACGTGCCGCTTCCTGCTGGCTGCGGATCCTCCCGCTGCTTTGGACGCAAAGGGGGAAACAAAAGTTTAGAACTATGGCCAGGGAAATGTAACCAGGCAGTAGAAAGTCCTTAAATCATCACTGGTGCACACTGGGCGTTTCCAAGCTGCTTTTCAACCTCAGTTTTAAATGTATTCATGGATGAGAATTCAGCTGCTTCTACGGGAGATTTTGACAGCCTTGTATATCACAGTACCGTGAATTTTTTTTACTTTATTTTTTCCCCATCCTGACTATAGCCTGGTCTAATTTTAATAATTTCCTCTAAGATGTACATACTCTTCCAAGACCCTGTACGCTGAAAGCATCTTTTGTACCTTTTTTAACCAAACTTCAAGTTGCTTTTTCAGGCCTGATTCTGAGATTTTGCCAGGCTGTACACAACACAAGATCTCTGAGAGCTGTAGTGAACTAATAATTCATCCTTTAATTTTTTCTTATATATCAGTAAGTCTTGACCTTTGACCATTTTTATGTTTTCCCTGGATTGTCTCCCATTTCTTTCTTTCTGTTCGTAAGTAAGAGTATGATTCTTTATTGCAAATAGCTCTATATAGGAAAGTGTTTCTGGGAATGAGCGTGGTCATGACACTAAACCCACACAATTGAAAATCGTCCTGGGATATTTAACTGACTAAACCCAATACAATTCTGTCAAACTTCTCTCAGTCCCATGGCAATTAACAAAGAACGAGATGCCTTCTTTAGGCCGGGAGATGTTTACAGTTTGAGATCATTGGCTGAAGGATGCTACATAGAAAATTACAAAATAAATATACTATTATTGTTAATTCGTTATTGTAAGAGACTATATATCTTTTGCATAGTCATCACTGACATTTGTTTGAAGCTATCGCTTCTTATTAATTTTCAGTCATGGTTAATATCATGAATATGTTCTGAATTTAAATAGCAATAGTATTTCAGCAATTCAACAATAAATTGCTTGCATGTTCATTTTAATGTTATGTTAATTTACAGTTTGTTTTCCTGACTAGGATTCTTTCCAGTTAACTGATAGAGTCAGTCTCTGTTTTCCCTGGTAATCATCATCATCTTTCCTTTCTTCTCTTTTGAAGGGACGTCAGCCTCTAATATTGCCAACTCTGAAAAAGAGGAGCTGGTAGAGCCGCCTAAGCAGGAGAACGTGTCTTTAACTTCTACAGAAAACAAAAATAAAGAGAGAGAAAATGAAATAAGTCTGTTGCCATCACCAGACTCTTCACATCAGGGACCATCACCAGCAGGCAGTAAGTAATAGGTTCTGAATTTTCTTTAACATCGAAGTGACCGTGTGGACAATATTGATTCCCATTTGCTTTCAGTATAGCGGAATGAATGTATTGCTTTTCAAAATGGTCACATTTGAATATTTGCCTATGTCCTGGCACTGTTGTCTCCTGAGCTCTTTATTCCTAACTTTAGCACATGGCCTCCTGTTCCTCCTTTCTATAGCTCTCTTGGCCTTGAGATGCTGGCTGTGTTATCCTTGGGATCTCAGGACGTTTCCCAGATCCCTGTGCACACCCTGGTCCCGTCATGGCTCCATACTAAGACTAGGTCAGCAGGTACATTTCCTGCCCCACGTCCCTTTCTCCATGCCAAATAAATCTAGGCCAGAAGAGAGCCACGCACACATCAGCAGGCCCCTCAGCCTGGGAAAGGGAGGGAGCAGAACCCAGGACATATTGAGGAGAGCATCTGACCAACAGTATAGATGTAGGGACCTCCATGTCCCCGAGCCAGGACGAGAGAGATCCACATAGTCATCTTGCATAGAAGAGCCAGGAAAATAGCTCCCTATCTTTGCAGAGTGTTTCACATTTTGGCAGCTTGTCGCAGATTATCCCTGGTTAGGAAATTCAACAAAATACTCGAGACCTTCATAATTAGTCCCAGGCTGTGGTATTACAGAAATAAGGTGTGTGTTCAGTGCTGTTATTTCAATTCCAGGTGCTGGTTCCGAAGGAGCCGTGTATTCACTCCCTTTTCCACCACCTCCCCCAAGAGACCTTTTGAAATCCTTACAGTCAAATCCTCCCGTCTCATCAAGTGTGAAGGTAAATTCCGTTAGTACTCATTGGTTATAATGAAGAAAATTGTCTTTATGGCTTTCTGTGTTTTTTCAATCCGAGTTTATCCCTCTACTTGTATAGAATACAGAGCTGGTGGAAAAGTGAGGCTCGATGACAGTTTGTTTGGACTGAATATAACGGTAATGCTACAGTTGCTTGTGGTTTACATCACTTTTTTTGCCAGTGAAGGACCAGCGAGGGGAAGAATTAACAATTAACTGCATAGCTCAGCATGGGTAACATGCCCACAAATAGCAATTAATTTTGAAGGAATTTCCAGTATAGATTTTACAGACGACTTAACGGTTCTGGTGTGGTCATAGGACAGTGCAATATATTCCACTGACTGTCAGAGTGGCATACTTCTTTGAGTTTAATTTTGTACTTAAAACGTAGTTTCTGCTCAAAACTGGGCTAGTATCAAATTTAAGTCAGGTTGCCCAGAGCCTTGCACGGCTGACAAATGAAAATCTCCAAGGTTGAAGGTTCTTTCACCACTCTGAGCCCCTGTTCCAGTGCTCAACCATCGCACTGGGAAGCTTTTCTCGTGTTCATAGTAATCTCAGCACACGGTCTCCCGTTCCGTCCTCCCTATGTCTCTCTTGTCTTTAAGACAGTCTAGCTAGATCTGGCCTGTGGGTTCTCAGAGTGTTTCTCAGATCCAGGTGCACGCTGTGGTCCCGTCATGGTTCTGTCTTGGACTATTTTCTTTGGTTTAGTTTGTTCAAATTGTTTTAAAGAAGATTGTGTTTTAAGACTTTAAACTCTTCCAAAATAACATGGTTCAAGAGTACTAGCCAGAAGAGAAGACTGCTGCAAAGATTGCAGTAGTTTCAGAAGTTCTTGAGAGGGAGTTGTTTTGTTTTCTCAAGTCTGGAGTGCATTAAGGTTGTGAAAGCTGCATGATGCAGGGTACAGTGCAGCTGTAATAACAATTGGCATTAGGACTTGCCCCACTGGAAGCAACAAATTATTGTGCAACCGATGCCAGATGCTTCAGAAGTAGATGTGAAGTTCCCACCATAAATACATTATGAGGGACCCTACTTTCTGACCCAGCTGTTTCTTACTATGTGCCCCAGCCATAAACATTAGTGGTTTTTGTAACTTAAACTAACGTCACTTTAAATAAATATATGGACTTTTAACCAAAACTAAGTCTGTTTTCTGGGAGAGATGGAAATGCCAACTGGTGAGTTTTCAAGTCTCTTCTACTATGCAAAATTTTTACATCAGCAGAGCACATGGAGCCGGGTGTTACCAAGGGAAACCCTAGTGACAGGTCGCACAGTACCTTTCACAGTTTCTTTCGACAATCACAGTGAGTGCTTAAATCATGGAAAAGAATATAGGACACCTGAAAGAAGGAAAAAGAGTATGAATTTTCATGAGATAAACTTGTTTCTTTTACAAATGTGTAGCCTTGCAGCTCTGCCACTCCTCAGCAGGAGACTACGACTGATCTCCCCAGCGGGAGTCTTTTGTGGACCCAGAGGGAAGTTGCTAATGCCACAAACGGTTTCAGTGACAAGAGCAGGATTTGTGAAGGTACTTTTGCGGATGTCTACAAAGGTCAGAGAAACAACATAGTGTATGTCATCAAAAGACTGAAAGAGGCAAGTACTCCACCTTTTCTTCTTCTTTGAAGGGGGCATGTTATTAGTATCTCTTGAATATTGGCAGTTGTTATCTAATATTGGATGGGCAAGGAACCCGAGTGGCTACACAAGCAGAGAGATTAAAAGGACATGATGTAAAGTAAGTAAACCTAGATTCAGCAAACACATGGGAGAGGTTTTACTCCTGTGAGTAGTTTTATTAACTCTATCCATGGGAGCAGCCTGCAATGTAGCTACCTGCATCGATGATTGGATCAGAGGTGTCTTTACACTGGCTTTCATTCTAATTGCAACTTATTTGTTGTCTTTGGCACAAAGTTGCCATCAGTGATACTTGCTTATTTCTAAAGTAGCTCATCATCTAGAGACTAAAAGATCTGTATAAACGCAACATCTTAATAATTACTGTTGACATTCTCTTGCATGTTTTCCTTTTTCAGATGGAATGCACAAGCCCAAATTCTACCCAAAGGTTCTTTCATACAGAAGTGCAGATTTGCTTTCGGTAGGTGGCTCTTTCAGAGGCAGTCCGTGCGTGTCCTGCACGTGGCCTGTTGCCCGTGTGTGTCGTTGGAGACTGAAACTGTGCTGTTCTGGGGACAGGGGGGTTCTGCCTCCCGGCAGAACAAACCCCGCTGAGCAAACGCAGCCGCTCTGCCAGTCCTTGAGACGGTGAGAAGTGGTGCCTCCTGGAGCTTCGTGTCCCTCCTGCCTGCTGAGAACAGGGCTGCGCTGTCGTGACATCTCCCGTCCCTGCTGAGGTCCGTTAGCCTCCCGCAGCACTGCTCAGGGCCACTCTGTGCTTCCAGCTGCAGGACACAATCCCCAGTTGCCTTGAATTTAGGGATTTATTCCAGATCAGGAATGTATTTTTCTGTGTTGCTCGTATTTCATTTGCAAGTCATTGTCCATCTGTGCCTGCAGGTGTTGTCATGTCAACATTTTGCCGCTGCTGGGTTTCTCAGTAGAAACTGGATTGCACTGTCTGATCTATCCCTACCTGCCCAATGCATCACTACAAAACAAACTGCAGTGTCAAGTAAGCAAATCACCCGGGTCCCTTGTCCCCCTTGGTGACAAGGCCTGTCCTCTGACTGTATGCAAAGCAATTCTATCTCTTTGAATGCTGAGAAACAGCGGGGCTGGGGGGGAAGTGCCCAAACACCTTGACTGCAAGTACTAGAAAGGCTGCGGCTCTTTTCCGTTCTCTCTCCTGCAAAGCAGACCAGGTCTACAGGAAGTTTGTGCTGTGCAGCCTCTGGATTTTTAAAATAATAAGGAATCTGCAAAACGTGTCTCTTCATACTGTAATATTTCATTGGATTTGGGAATAAGTTTCTGTGTAATCCATCATCATATCCATGGCATAATGTGCTATGAAGTTTTACGAGAGCTGAGGAGGGAAGAGTTTGAGATGTTCACACCTACTGAAAGAGCATTTGCAGAGGAGATCACAGGGCAGAGAAGCCTCAGAAAAGCAATCCATGAAAACCAGCACTATGCCTCAGCAATGGCCAGTACTGGATGCTTTGGACAAGCATGATCCTTGCTGTATCCTTGTCTCCCTGTGCCTACGGCAGGCAAAATGTGCAGCACGATACACAACAATAGTTCCTTCCTTGGCCTTGGAATCGTCCGTTTCTGCCTCGGACCAAACTTTTGACTTAGGTCAGCAGGAGTTTTGCTTGGGACATTAGTCAGACTAAAACTAAGGCTTTGGCTTTCAAAACTACTACTGTCTTACAGTTTTTTATTCTATATAATACTATTTTTTTTCCTCCCTTTCTTGCAGGATGATTCTGCTCCCCTGACCTGGGAGATGCGAATTAGCATTTCTGTAGGACTCATCCGAGCTGTAGAGTATTTGCATAATTTTGGAATTCTTCATGGGAATATCAAAAGGTGAGAGGTTTGGCATGTCAGCACTTCCTTGGTCACCTGTTAATTCCAGGATTTCTTTAACAGTATTGGCTGAAAGCTTGCACAATTTTGAAATCCGTTTGCAGTATCTTTCTGCTGTCTCTTGTTCTGCAGGGTGTTTTCTGTTCTATGTTTAATCTGTCTCTCTTTTCTAAATGATGGAAGTATATTCTTTTGAAGTTTTTCTGAACGCTTTTCCTTTCTCCTCTCCCTTTCTACCATTCTTTATCCTTTCATTCACACACAGGAGACCAAATGCTGGAAACTTTCAGTGCTTAACTGTGGAAGTGTAAAACTGTAATTCTTTACCTCAAGTTAAAGTAGTTACTTGACCAATATTGTTATTTGTCTGTCTTTATCACAGCTCAAATGTCTTGCTGGATGAAAACTTTACACCAAAGCTTGGGCATTCAGGTCTGCGATTGTATTCTGCTGATAAGAAATCAGAATATGCCGTGATGAAAACCAAAGTCTTACAAGCTTCTCTTACTTATCTGCCGGAAGATTTTATCAGACACGGGCAGTTAACAGGAAAAGTTGATGTATTTGGCTGTGGTGTGGTACGTTGCCTTTTTGCCCTGTTCTGTTGCATTCTTTGGTGCTTCTAGACAGGAAAATGGATATAAGAGCACGTGCCTCATATAGCTGTTCTGCCTGCCATTTCCTGTCGTAGTTGCTGACTATATAATGTGTTGAAATCCTGGTTTTAATTATGTTCACACTCCAAATATACTTCTGTTTGTGGCAAAGCGAGGTGAATTTTTTGAACAACAGAAATTAAATTGTTTCTTGTTGCAAAAGAGTTATTACTGCTGGTGGTTTAAAAAAAAAGCGTAGTGGAAAGACTGCAGTTAGGTTCTCAGAATTCTCGCAGAGTTGTCACATGAATTGCTACAAACATCACCTGTTAATGTGGAATTTCAGCTAAAGTATTTGGTAGTCTATGATGTCACCTGTCTCCAGGTGTTTCCATTTAAATAGGAAATTTCTCTGTTCAGTGCAATTTCTTACCTAGATTTAAAATTACTTTCTTCTCATCCTTTGTTTCAATAATATCTCCTGTACCTAACTATAAGATTAGGACCTGGCTGTGGAGGTAGATCTTAGAGTCATAACGGTTGCCCAGATCTGGCATTGTTAAGCCATCTGAAGTAAAAATATAATTTCAAAATGCCTTGGCAGTTCAATATTTCTGTAGTTAGAAATTAATTTTTAAAAATAGAATTAATTCTGAACAAATTGTTTTATATTTCAAATATACTTTCTAGGTGTTAGCAGAGATACTGACAGGGATTAAGGCACTGGATGAAGGAAGACACCCTATTTATCTGGTAAGAAAAAGCAGGAATAATGAATACGAGCACGAGTGAATGGGGTCGCTGTCACAGAATGAATTTACGTTTTCTGTAAATAGTTTGTCATTTGCAGTCTGCTGTACACCCCCTGAAGAAGGGATGTTTAGAAGCCATATCCCGATTCCTTTGACATCAGCAGTCTATCTGCCTTCAGACGGACGCAGAATATTCCCAGTTCACATACCGCACTGCTGAGTGCTGGCCCTGTTATATTAGGAGATATTCCAGAATAATTGATGTTTAACTACGTGCTTATGCTTTGTGCTGACAAGGCTTTATGCTGAAATGCTGCTGCATGTTTTCATGTGCCAGAGAGGGGTGTTACAAGCCAAACGGAGTGGGGAAACCTGGGTAGGTGGTAGCTGCAGTTGCTCATCATCGTGTTTATCAGGCGTTCGTGTATTGCACCATCGTCTGGAATTTGTATCCTGGCCAATTTGCCCAGGCTGTCATTAGAACTGCACAAAGGACTTTCACAAGCAACCAAAAGTGGCCAGGCTCACTGAATGCCATTAACACCATCTTCATGAAAGCAGACTCCACCTATGTTCCTTCTGGGGGATACGCTCCTTCTGACTTGCCATCTTGTTGAAGTCTTTGAAAGGAAAACGATAGTAGCCTTACTGTTTCCCAGCAATGCAGCCATGTTCAAGTGGATTCAGAAAATACAGGATCCTGGGTTTCTGATGGCTTTACCAGTGTTTGAAAAGGCCTGTGCAAGAATGCTGCTATATATAGTGTCCATTATTTTTCCCTCCTGTAAATGGGAATAAGCCTCAAAGAGCTGTGCCTGCTTTAGTGAATTTGACATTAGACACATGCAGAGAAAATCTTTGGCCTTTTCTCTCCTGTGAAAACAAACATTTCTGTCAGTTGCAGGAATGGAGAGTCTTAAAGCTTTTAGATCTGTAAACCAACCCTTAAGGAGCAATAATAACAGATACATGGCAAGACTTATATTCGTAGTGATTCAGGTAAAAATAAATGTGTTAATTTTGCCTTCACTAACGTTTCCCTTTCCTTTGAACAGAAAGATATGATTGCTGATGAAATTCAAAGAGTGAAAGAAAGCTCATACTCCAAAGTAAAAAATTTTGAAAAGCTCGCTGCCAAGGAAATATGCCATAAATATCTAGACAGGAAAGCAGGACACTTGCTGGAAGAGGTTGCTGTTGATTTTGCCTCAGCCATCTGCCTTTGTCTGAGAAAGAAGAATTCTAACATAGCAGAGGTAATATTTCAAACACATGAACAAGATTTTGGTCTTCTTGACAGCAAGGTCTAAAGTGACAATAGTCACGCCTTACTTACTTTGAGAGTGTTTGACGTAGGAGAATACATGTTAGCAGGGGTACAGGAGTTATTCGGCATTCACAGATTTTGTTGTTAAAAACAGGTGCTGGAAAGTATGGAAATGGCTGAAAAAAAATTAAGAGAGCATTACCTCTGTGGAGGCAGCACTTCTGGGTTCTCCATGAACACTCCAGAAGAAACCGACGATGAGACAACCATTCTGAGCACGGACGTGCCGTCTGCGGGGGAGAGCCGGGAGCACAGCGTGCAGCCGGCGATGCTGACGAGCGCCGGTCCGTGCGCACCTTCGGTGGCAGTTGGGACACCGGACACTTACTGCGGACAAGTGTCAAGGGTCCCGTGTGAATCAGATGAATCGAGTAGTTTTGTGTGGAATCCTTCAGAAAGATCCGCAGATGAGCTATCTAGCAACAGCTGTAACAATTCGGAAAACGTGGCAGCCTGTGATTACAGGGTGAAGCAGGGAAAACCTGCAAGTGGACTCCAGGAAAGAAACGCAGCATGTGCCAAAAGTGATGATGTCTTGGATACAGCATCTACTGCACAGAGCGCCTTTCCACAAAGCAACGCAGACCGTGACTCCTCGTGTTCCTCGCAAGGTAAATCTAGATAAGTCCGAAGGGTGCACGCAGAACGTTCAGAAGCATATGGTCTTCAAGCTGGTTTGGCAAAACTGCCCAAGTTCCCGTTGCAATAACCAAAGTCTTTGTAAAAGTGCTCCAGTATTATATAAAGTAGGGACAAATTACTCTTTTCTCCAGAATTGCTTAGGTTCTTCTTCCTACTTATAAACATATTTCAGTGAATCTTTTATCCTTTGTTACAGTTTTACCAATAAATCCATAAAATGTTTTCTGGTTTTCCATCAGATTTTTTTCCTGAGCCAGTTTTGTTGGTGTTTCTTTTATTTAAAATTATCGTCTATTCCTTAGACAATAGATAGATTTTTTTTTTTCTCAATATTTGGGCTTTTTTGTTTTTCAGCATTGGCCAGAGAGACGTCTTGGAAAATAAAGATAAATGATCAAAAAAAGAAGCTCATGGAAAATATTTTGCTGTATGAAGAAGACAAATTAAACAGTTCTGAACTTTTTGAATCGTAAATTGGATGGATTTATTAGCAGTGGCCAGCTCAGAAGAAGAAACAAGGACTGTCCTTCATTAGAAAGATGGTAAAAGTGTACCTTTTGTGTAAGGTTGAGTAGCTGGCCTGGATCTGCAACATTAGCCCTGACTGAGCAACAGAAGTGATCACACTGAGAAAAACCACAAAATCTCTGTTCTGCAGCAGATTAAAGCATAGTGCCACTCTGTAAACAGAAATGTCTTTTTCCTTTTCTTCTGCAATGCGAAAAGATATGGCAAACACAAACAACTGCCAAAATAATTTATGATCCTTTTGCAGCGTATTTCAGAAAACATCTACATGGATATGTATCTTATTAAAAACCGCAGTCCTAGAAGTTACAGGGCAAGCACTGGCCAGCAAGCAGTTAGCAATGGCCTTTATTGTTATCTCATGGTGTACAAGCAGGCAGAAATCTTCAGAGAGACTGGAGAAGGTTTCAGGTTTCAAATCAATCTGTCCTATTCCATAAAATCTTAGTCCACATCCGCAACACCACCGCGTTACCAGAGAGGGGAATTTTTGTGCAGGCTCTCACATGTACTCTGCATGACTCAATCTCAATTTGAATTGCATTGAACATGGTTGTAGGTGAATAATTAAAACCATGTTGGTCTCTTCTGTGAGCTGCTCTACTACATACATGCCTGTGGCACCGTTTGAAATCTGACCTTGAAGTGTCACTGTCAGGACCTCCAGGCCAGAGTTTAATACTTCATAAGAGTATTTTTGGAAGTTAGTTTTTTGTAAGTGTCCTTTACATGTTGCTAAGGTTTCTCATTGTGTTTCACATGGTAACTGATGTATATTTTGGATTAGAGACAATATTTTAATTTAAAATATCTGTAATTTTGTCATCGGTCACTTGAAATCTGATTTGTTCTATTTATTTTGGCGATGGTCTAAAGAGCCGGTGAAGGACGAGGTCGCCCGTGGGCTGTGGATGAGCCACGCTCACCATGTGTGTCTCTTGGCTGGCCCCACGTTAGCAGGGGGGGCAGCCTCGGGGGGCACTCTGGGGAGAAAGAACAGAAATCCGTGTGCTGTCACACTGGTTACCAAGTGGAAGCCCCCTTAAGAAAGCGTCACTTTTATCGCTGTGACTATTTATTGTTTGTGATGTCGTTAGCATGTTCTCCTGTTGTGCAGTCTAAGGAAAAACAGGTTTATTATAAACAAAAAGACCTGCCAGAACGTGTAGCTCAGGTTGCAGACAGGTGGCTGCTGCCTCCTTAGCGTAGGTCATGGGCCCTGGTGTACAGAAATGGCCGAGATTCACAATGGAGTTTCAGAGAATATTTAAAAAAAATGCGAATTTATAGGTAATTCTTCTCATTTGAGTTGTGTCACAGTGCAGTTTTCCTGGCTTTACACAAAGGTCTGTGAGTAAGGGCTCGTATCTTCTGTCACTGTACAGTCCCGAGGCCGTTGGAGGTACTGCAATGAGCACGTCAGAGTATCTCAACTAAAGACCCGAGCGTTGGAGTCATCTACACGTTTATCAGATTGTTTTCTACACTAAAATCTGGTAAAATTCCTTAGTTGTAAGTGCCTTGGATACTGTCTATATATTTGCCAGTGTCAGGTTTTTTTTATTTTACCAGATCAAACCAAGACAACATTGGTACTGACGTAAGAAACATTGGTCAATAACTTCTTAATTTGACATGAGATTTAATTAAGTTACTTTATGGTGCTGAAAATTGAATAGTCATTGTTTTTCATGGGTATATTTAGGGAGGTCCATGGTAAATATTTCACATCTTCTCCTGGAAGAAATGCAGGTAGACACATGGCAGAGCTGACTGGAAAACTAAGTTTTTGAAATTGAGAAACATAATTTAGACATAGTTCTGTTTCACAAAAATGCTTTGAAGGTTTTGTTCTCCTGTAGTCACAAAATGAAATCGTTATTCTTTGCCTTGCTCCATGTTAATTTTAAAATATTTTGAGGTGAATACATGGTATTTAATGTAACATATATAAGACACTGTGTAGTCTTAAAATAATGGTACTCTGTCATAACTGTTGAGTATAATGTATGTTTTAATCTCAACTTGGCAAATCTATACATTACCATTTACTAATACCTTTGTGAATAAAAAAAACTGAAAAAAAATCCTTGCTTTATAGCCTGCTTCTTCATTATTTGTGGCACAGAAAAACATGTCTCAGCCCACCCTGTTTAGGTAAATTCGTGTTCGTAGGGAAGCGGCTCAAGGTCTCTTTGCACGCACTTAATCATTAGTAATTATTAGTACAAACATGTTTATTCTGTCTTCACTCATGGTTAAATAGCTGATTTTTTTTCCTTTGAAGTGTCCCTAGAGTAAATTTCACTCTAAAATTAGTAATTACACGGATTACTGAGACACAGCTGACATTTAGTGGTGTTTAGATGCACAACCTGTAGTGCCCTTGATGCTTAGGACCTCGTAGCTCTCTGTCAAAAACGAAGGACAACTCTGCTTTTTTTCACCCCTGAACCTTAGAATAAGGGCACAGAATGTCAATTTAAAAAATATATATTTATTATAGAACATTAGACTGGTGCAAGTAAACCTAATTTGGAGATGAGCACCTCCCAAAGGGGCTGTTAAAGCCTGGAGGCCGAGCACCGCCAGCT